GATGCCCTCAAGAGATTCGTTCTTTGCGGTTCCATTTGGTCGTGCCCAACGGCCATCCACCATTCGCCGCCAAAAGGCATTCGGGAAGGGGCGAGGTAGCGGCCAGCGAGAAGCTTCTGGGAGCAGCTGTTCCATTGCACTCTGTCACATTCTATGTATGAGCAGCCGAGGCGGCGTTCCCGCAATGAGTCCGCTCCGCATGCATCCCACACGCCGAGAGTGGGTCGACACGCCGCAGTGACTTGGCAGGGGCCCTCCATGCTGTTCCCTGACGATCCATCGGAGACGGGTTCCAGATCAAGCAGTCACCTGGCAGAGAGAGGGTAATGTTGTCGTGTATATCCATAGGCATAGTCGATAAATTCATTCAGCAGTAAGCCGGCCGCAATTTCCTACAAGTAGCCGCCGGTGCTCGTCGCTCAACACTCTCCAAGACGCTACCCGTCATCAACCTTCCTTCACGACTACCATTGCAGCCTTTTCTGCACTTCAATCTGCACTTCACTCCGCCGACTCGTCTCACGGTATGTACATACGACATCATTGTGAGACGCACCCATCCCATCTCACCACTCACTCACACAGCCGCTCCTTACCCACCTCCCGAATAGTCTCCTCTCCAACAACCATGTCGTCCCTCCGCCAAGCCTCGGCCGACGCCAAAATCCGCTCGTTCCTCGCCGTGAAATCGCGCTTCGATGCAGTGTACAAGCAGCTGCTTACCGACGCCGACGCGGCCACATCCAAGCCCGAAGAGCTGCGCATTCTGCACTCTGGCCTGCAATCGCTTGTCATGGCGCAGTCGGCGTTTCATCCGGAAATGAGCGACTACGAGCCGCTCGTCCAGTCTGTGCTTGCCGATCTGGCGCCGCTCGACTCGACCGTCAACATGTGGTGCGACAAGTTGCGCAAGGTGGTCAAGGAAGGCCAGTTGCGGTGCCATTACGCCATGTTGTTTGGAAAAGTGCTGGCCGAGCATGCAAAGGTGGTGGCGGCTGGCGGAAAGCACCAAGATCAAGAGACGCCGACGCCGACGCTGTCCCCAACCGCGGATGCCACCGGCGTTGCCGCCGCTGTCGTCGCGGACGGCGAGTCCTGGGTCGATACCGCCAACGCCGTGGATTATCGCCAACGTACCACGGCCACCGATGTCAAGTCGCAGGCCACGGAAACAAAGGCCGATTTCATTGCCAATGCCGCGCAGGCACCCGGTCCTGACGCGGCCACGCTCTCGGCCGACGAATTCGCAAAGTGGTTGCAGCAAGAATTTGTCAACAAAAGCGGCGAGACGGGCAAAAAGAACATCAGGTCAATGCAATCTGCTGTTACCCACTTTGGTTCAGAGTTGCGCAAAGCTCAAGTGCCTGCGTACGAAATCAAGCTGGCGCTCAAGGGCCTCGTGGGCGGCGACTTGTTGTCGCCCGAACGCAAGGCAGAGGTCCGCACTGTGCTCGACGATTCCATGCTGCACGCCGAGGTGGCCAACGTGGTCAATCAAATGTTGACCGACTTGGACTCGTGGGACTGGGTCACGTCATCGTTGTCGTCGCCGTCGGCAGGTGGCGTCCGTGGGTCGATTCCAGTGTCGATGCGCCGTGAAATGACGGGCAAGATGCGCATCTTTCTCGATGAGGATCTCATGACGGCCGTATTTTTGCAATGGTGTGGCGTCAAGTGGTCGAGCTTCTTCCACCAGCAACTGACAACTTTGCGTGCGGGACACAATGGCGTTTGGACGACCGATGTGCGCGGGCCGCACGACTATGCATCCACGACCCATGTGCGCAAGCGCCGCAGCGACCGCGCGGCCACGTATGCGTTTGGCGAGCTGCCGCCAAGTTTCGAGGCGCAAGCGTCAGGCGTGCACCAGTACGATGGTGACGGCGCCGATTCCGATGACTATTCCGATGATGATTCAGATGCCGATTGGAACAACGCCGATCCGGACGCAAAGTCGCGGCGTGAGCTCAAGGACGAGTTGCTGCAGTGGGTCGTCGCCGAAGCTCAAGTCCATAGGCTGCTCTACCCGACCGACACCCCATTCACGGTGATTCGCACCGACATCAAGAACTTTGGCCCCTCCATTCTGCACGACCACATGGATGCCATTCTTGCGTTTTTCGGCATGGACAAGCACTGGCGCCAGGTTGTCCGCCGTTTCCTGCGTGTTCCCGTTCACTTCCCTGGTGCCGAAAACGAGGACGCGTTTGAATGCCAGCGCGGCTTGCCGATTGCTCATGCGTTTACGGCCTTGCTGGGCGAGCTCGTTCTGTTCCCCATGGAGTACCTTGTGCACCGTCGCGCAGGCCATGCTGTGACGCTGGTCCGCATGCACGACGACATTTGGTTGTGGTCGTCGGATCCCGCGGCCATGGATATCGCTTGGAAGGCGTGCCACGAGTATGCGGGCATGACGGGCCTGTCGTTTTCCGAGTCCAAGACTGGGTGCGCCGTCGCATTTGTGGGCAACGCCGAGTCGGAAATCAAGAGCAAGTATGGATTCCCAACCACCCCCGTTCGCTGGGGCGCGTTGCAGCTTGCACAGGATGGCCGGTGGGCCGTAGACGAGGTGCCGCACATGGGACTGATTGCCGATTGCCGCGCTCGACTGGCGGCCGCACCAAGTGTCCTGAGCTGGGTCAACACGTACAACCGATTTGCGCGCTTCTTTTTGCGCAGTTTCGGGTACACGTCACAGGCGTCGGGCAAGCGCCATGTGGATGCGGTGCGCGACCACATCCGCGACGTGCACTTGCGCATCTTTCCCGAGTTTGATGGCAGTGCCGTGCGCGCGCTCATGGCCAGGGTTGCAAAGTCGGTGGGCGCAGGTGAGGTGCAAGAGCAGCAAGGTCAAGTCGAGGGCGGGCTCTTGGACGGGTGGGTGCATTGGCCCATGGCCATGGGTGGGCTCGAATTACTGGATGTGCATTTGATGCTCATGCAAGCGACAAGGGCATTCATGACCATCCCAGGTCTGGATGTGCTCGCCGATTCCGAAAGGGAGCGCAATCTCCTGGTAACCATGGAGGCTGCATACAAGGCCGAGAAGGAGAGTTTCGGACAGGTGGAAAAGGAGCGGCGTGAGTTGCTTGGACAGGGGCAAAAGCGGCAAGCCGACAAACTCAAGTACTTCTCGCCGCGGTTGTACACGACCGACACCGCCTCGGGTAACCGCACCTTTATCAACTTTGCGACCTGGTTGCCATTGGTTGGACCTGAGCGCTACGACCTGGCCAACTGGTTCGACAACTTGTTTGAGCGTGTCGGCGAGACGACCAAGCCAAGCATGGATGCGAGCAAGACGCATTTCGGGTTCCTCACCTCGTTGCCGAGCTCAAGTTCCAACGCCAGCCCCAACAACCCGCTTCGCTCGAGTCCGTCCAGCATGAGCACTTATTGGAACTGGGTCGTGTACACGCATGCGCCACAGCTGGTCCATGCGTTTGGGACACTCAAGTTTTTGCCGCCCGAGGTGGTGCCACAGTCCTTGGTCGGGTCGCTCAAGATGGAGGGTGTGTCTTGGGAGTGATTGAATCGGGTTGTTTGGCAAGCCTTGCGATGTCAGTTTTATTGTACATTCATCATTATGTCAGTAAGTATCAAACGAAAATGCAGTAAATTTCACCATGACTGCCCCTTTTCTTCTGTCCAAACCACATGGCAGCCCGCAGCTGTGATCATGCGTCTTCCAAGAAGCCATGCGAATTCAAGCCTGAGAACCGAACCTGCGATCTGTTCAGGACTTGAATGGCCCATGTTCCGCAATGCATTTGACGCGTACAGCGACTGCGGGACATGTCCCGCAAGGCATTCACTGTCTTGCGAAAAGATGGCGATACCAGCCAAGCTGAAGGATGAGTGCGCAGGAAGATGACGACAGCGGTGAATAATGAAATAGACTCCTCATTTCAGTCAGGACAGCTGTTCTCATTCTTGGGTTGCAAGAACAAACCCAGGATGAGCTCACTCTAACGACTCCGAGTCTGAGAATACTGTTCACATCAACGCTCTGCGAAAAGTGAGTGTCCACACCCATTTGATCCTCAAGGGCTCTGCGTACCAAGACAAGAATCATCCAAAGTCGTGTCGTGCAAACACTACTTGCACCAGCAGCCCCTACCACATCGAGAGAGGTTGTGCCAGAACCGCAAAAAAAAACGAACCTACCAGGGATCGAACCTGGAATCTCCTGATCCGTAGTCAGGCGCCTTATCCATTTGGCCATAGGTCCTCTTGTTGTTCCATGGTGATTTTTTGCAGATTTTGAATTACATGCATTGAATAGAGTCCACGGCGCAAGCCGCGCCTGCAAGCTTGTAAAGCAGATGTCTGAGCGTGCGCGTGTACAAAAATGGCGTAAATCCGCCCAGAAATGCTTCGGCAATCGATGCTCGAGGAAAGTGAACACTTTTGACTGGGAAACCGGCTTGCCGTCACCTGAGTCACTTGCCATCTGGTGGATATGATAGCTGAGCGAGTAGGGAAAGTTCTGAAGCAGTCGGCATGCGATTTGGACCAAAACTGAATGTTTCCCAATCGATTTAGTGTTGGCGGATGGTCAAGGTCCCGTCTTCGAATCGGGACGCGCCTGATTGCCCTGATTTGTTTTCGCATTTGGAAAGTGTAGCGAGTATCGCCCGAAAGGCCGGCGTGCCGACTGGGGGAACCCTCGAGATGCGGTGCGAACGGGAGTCCAGAATCCAGCAGGATTCTTTCAGATTCGAAAAAGGGAATCAACGATGCACCCGAGTTTCGAACTTGGGCCTGCGAGTGTTTTGTGATTTTGCCAATTGCCTGATACACTCGAGAATGGCATAAAAAAATGGCCCGGAAAGTGGGAACGCATGGAAACCGACACTGCGCTTCTGAATCCTGCATAAAAGGGTGGTTTTCCTTCTTTACGGCCGGTCCCGGGTCGATGCACGCGGGGTTCGAACATGGGAGTGCGGCGAATCGCGATTTTTGCCAAACCGTAATTGCAGAATGAGTGCAAAAACTGATGGTGCGAGTGGGATTCGAACCCACGCGGATTGCTCCATAGGAACTTGAGACCTACGCCTTAGACCACTCGGCCATCACACCTTAGTGAGCAAAGTCATGTGGACTAACCCTATGACTGTAAAGGAAAACTGAGTGGTTTTTTTTTCGGTGTCGTATTGTGTCGCTTGCGGCAGTTTGCGGCCGTCTGCGGAAAGTGTGGGTGGAGGGCAGGGCATGAGCCGGTCGGTGAGTGAGGTCCGCACAAGTCGCGGGACTCTACAGTGCCAGCTTGGCGCAGGCCAAGGCTCGACAGATCAGTGTCTTACACACTTCCGCTTCCATCTCCGCCATCGGGTATTGACTGTCGCCGAAATGACCCAATGAAATGTCCATGTCCATGCTCAAGCACATGCTCACAATTATTGTCCACCGTTGACTTCCGCCTGCACAATGAACTCCACAACCCGCACCGCCCTTCGGAACTTGTCCAAACTCATATCTGAGCAGGGCGACGAAGGCGCATGGACGCTGACGCTGGCCCGCGCCCAAGATCCTGCACAAGCCTTTGCACCTGTGACCCTCGAGCTCCATGTGGTGCTCGACTGGACTGTGGCCTCGTGCACGTCTGATTCGGCGGCCATGGGGTTTATCGACGCGGGCGGCGCAGATCTCGTATGCAAAGTGTTGGCTGAGGCAACGCTGGTTGCGCCGCCCGAGCAGGTTGGGATTGCAAGCGGGAATGAGGAGACAGTGGTCGGTGCATTGGAGCAGATTCGGGTACATACGGCATCTTGCGTAACTGGCATGACCTTACTGCAAGCCTGACATGTCGGATTTTGTTTGGAAAACAACAGGAGCGCTGCCTTTCCATCCTCATCAACCTGTGCCGCTTCCAGACCTCCTCATCAACGCTGCTGTCGCCACCTCACCCACTCGTCCCGCTGGCTGTGTTTTCCCTGCACAACGAGGCCGACCCATCACTTTTGCTCACGTCTCTACGCCTCATTCAAACACTTGTATCCGTCCACTCGTCCACCTCACTCGCGACCCTCCTTCCGCTCCTGTCTGCCTTGCTCGACAACACCTCGCTCGCCCACCTCCTCTTCATTGCCACACACACGCTCAACGCGCGACTATTTGCAGCCACGCTGGGTGCTTTCTCGCAGCTCGTATGGATCACGCACAAGCGCATGGCACTGGGCGATGTAGACACGGGCGACGCCGAGTTTCCGGTCGTGGACCGTGCGGGCGTGCGTGCGCTTGTTGCGTACATAGTTCAAGTGATGACGGGCAGCAACCAAAAGATCACGCTCGAGTGGGAAGTGGGCGTCTTGGCATGTGTCGAGTGTCTGCTGACGCTGTCGCAAGTCGGACCGGCGTGGCAAGCGATTGTGTGCGCGCACGCACACGACCTGTATCACTTGTTTGCGGTGGTTTGGCCGAGCTTGGCCGTGAACAAGGAGGACAATTTGGCGAGCAAATGGATTCGGCTGGCTGCGCAACTGCCGCCGGGCGGGTGGCCGCAAGTGGTTGGTGCGCTGGTCAGGGCTCGCAAGGCCGACAAGCGGGTCCAGGGGGCAATCGATTTGTGGTGCGAGGTGGCCGTCATGTACCAGTTGCCAGTCGGAATGGTGGCGGCTGTGTGTTGCGAGGTGAGTTCCGAGTCGGCAAGGCGGTTGGTGGGTGAGGTACCCGAGGCATTGGATGCAGTTGGGGAGAGGGGTGGGGCCGAGGGACAGGAGGTGGTGGAAGAGCTGGTGAGGCGGTCAAAGCATGTGTAGGTCGATACACTTACTTTCTTTGATGCATTAATGTGAAATCATCCTACGTACCTGTACACATGGAAGAATCGGCCCCAGTCTCAAACTATGCACAGCAAAGTTAACGGCTCTTTTCAAAAAGCGTTGAGGCGTGATTCAAATGATGCCAAAGAAATATGATGAAGTATAGGCACATGAAGAGCACATGATAAATGAATACCGCCGGCAAGCGACTCGGCGCATTCAACTCGGCACGCCCTCTACTATCCATCGCTGCTTCCGCTTGGCCGCGGGCCCTCGGTCTTTTGTCCCGCCCGGCACCAAGGCAACCTTGCTCCCCCAGCCACCAGCTGCCGCCGCTGAGCCGCACTTGCTTGGCCCCGGCTTCTCTCCCTCTCGCGCTCCTCAGCAATAGCGATAGCCCGGGAGCGCACCGGGCCATTACCTGGCACAGGCATCGATTCAGACATCGCCGCGCCTGCTTGATCCGGCTCCACAACCGCCGCCGCAGCGTACCACCATACCATTTGGATTTGGGTATGGCAGGCCATTGAGACTCGAATAGTCATAGATATAGAACATTGATCGACACATCAGCAATGCTGTCCGCATCCGCATCTCCTGGACCCGCCGCCGCCGCCGCCGCCACCATGACCACGCCAACCCGCCCGACCGTGCGCACTGCCTCGGTGCCACCACCACTCTTTCAGTCGCAGTCGCTCTCATTACCGCTCGATGATGGTCACCCGGCTACAACAACAACTACCACCTTGTTGTCGCCCACAGCCTCATCATCGTTTCCGCTGCCAGCCTCGTCTCCCCGCGAACCCAAATCTCCACCACCGCCCGCTCCCACCCCGTCGGTACTGGCGCCGCCCACGCCCATCCCATCTTACATGCAAACAACCAAATCGTTTGCCAGCCGATCACCGCAGCCCCCGCCCAGTACACCGACTCGCGCAAACTCCGTGTCAAGCTCTGTGGTTTCGTCATCGGCGGGGTCGTCATCCAAACGGCCGTCGCGGTCCACAACGCGCGCATCCAACCGGTCTCGGTCACGCCCACGACAAGCCAACTCGGGTGCATCTGCTTCTTCCACGTACACACCCGCACCGGATACTCCGGCCTTGCCTGCACTCCCACCACCCACATCTCAACCGCAACCTGTTCCGGGTCCAGCCGAGCCGACCTCCGCCTCCTCATCTCCATCCCCTCCTCAACCACCAACCGACTTTCCCTGTGCCTCATGCCGCGCCCACTATACCTCCTCCTCGCCACACACCTCCTCGCCCGCATGGACCACGGCCACGCACCACCCGCACAAACTGCACCGGCACCTGCTCGACCTACAAATCACCAACGACACGCTTGCCGTGCTCAACTCGGACCTGCAAGCCACTGTGGCGCAACAAGCGCGGTTCATTGCGCAGCTCGAGGAACACGTGGCGAGGCTGGCGGCCAAGGTCGGGAAGGAAGAGGCCGAGCTGGTTGCGCACTTGCACGACCAAGACCAAGACCAAGACGAAGTGAGCGTTGCAGACCCGCAAACCATGTCATGGTATGAGCCCGTGTCCGAGGAAAAGATTCAGGACCATCACAAGTTGCTTGCACGCATGTGCGATCGCACGCATCGCATGTTGTATGATGCGCGCAGGGCAGTCAATCGGAATCGTGGGGACATGGAGAGCGTGAGTGTAGAGGATGATTATGATGATGACGGGAGTGGGTCCGTGACGAGCGTGGATTTTGGCGAGGGTGACGAGGACGATGAGGTGAGCGAAATTGAGGCCGACGTGGTTCCGAAAATCGTCATGCCCGCCGCTCAATCCGTTCCGGCAGCTCCCATGGCTGCGCGCGGCAGACAGCTTTCGACCTGTTCATCGATCGCATCGTCCACTGCTGCATCGACTGCTGGCAGCAGTGCTGGGCAATTGCACTCGCTCGTGAAATCGCTCGCTTACCACATTCACTTGCTCGACTCGACGCCCCCGCCCGCACCCTCCGACTTACTTTCACCAACATCCCGCCGCACCTCGTCATCCACCGTATCGTCGTCCCGCATCACATCGGCCCGCTCGCCCTCGCCCCTGTCGCTCACACGCACCCCCTCTGGGTTTGGCGTGCTGGGCCTGGGCGCCGTGCTCGACCTTGCGCCGCCGTCACATCACGCGCCAGCAGGTACCGGCGCCACGGCGACCGCGGCCGCAGCACGCAAGCACCAGCTCGAGCAATGCCTTGTGATCCAACGGTGCAAAGATACCGTGATGCAACTGTGCTCGGAAACAGGCGTGCCCATGGGCGAAGTCCGTGAAATGGTGGTGGATGCGCAAATGCACGTGGCCACCAGCATGCCTGGTTCGCCCACCACACTCACAAGTGCAAGCAGATTGGCGAGTCCTGCCGTCGCGTCCCGACACCCGTCAGGGTACTACCCTGGGCGTGGCGGGCCCGCCAGTGACGGGCACTCGGTGGACGAGGACTTGGTAGATATCCGATCGGATGCGTCAAGCACCCGGTCCAATTACTCGCGCGTCTCGTCATCGCGGTCGTTTGCGTCGTCGGACGGCGCGGGCGGCGGCGGCGCAAGGTCGTCGTCCGTATTGGGTCCTAACGCGTCGGCATCGGCATTGGGCCGTGCGGCAGGCGTGGGCGGCGGCATGGTGTATCCTGCGGGCCTCAGCTTGGAGGAAAAGTACAGGATGCATATGGCGTATCAGCAAGCGACGCAGGGCAGTGGAGCAGGCGCACGTACGGGATCCATGCCGCGGGTCGTGTTGCATGATGACGCGGACGAGGATACGGCTGCAAGGTCCATCTTGTCAGGTTCAGGTTCGGGCGTAGGCGGCGGCGGCCCGGCGTCGTCAAGTTTATCGTCGCCCACGCTGTTGCCAGACTCGACGTCGGTCGTGTCGGGTGTGAGCGGCGGCCGGGTTGTCCGGATCAAGCATGCGGACGCTGCGTCTGTTGTGTCTGGTGGGAGCAGCGCGCCGTCCGTGTCTGGCAGATCTGCAACCGGGACTGCAACACCGTCCAGGGTGGCAAGCGTGCTGAGTGGATTCATGCCGTCATCAATCGGCACAGCAAGTCGCGTCAATGGCAGTGAGGCCGCGGGCGATGCATCGCCGCAGGGGTCGTCGGCGGGGCGGCCAAGAGGGCCCGGGTCCATGGTGGCGAGGGCAATTAAGGTCAGGACGTGGATGGGGTGAGTGACAAGAGCCACAGCAACGAGGTGAGAGTTGATTCCCTATGATTTCGTTTCGGTTTTGTATTTCTTTGAACGTTTATTCACCACCACCCCACCATCATACAGTGCACATGTATAAACAAGTTGTGTCTTTTTTT